GTCTGCTCAAAATACGCTTGACGTCAGCCATAGAAAGCGAGCGAGGCCTTTCACCCCGACAACATGGCTTCAGGAAGGGAAACTCAACTATAGGAGCAATTGGCGAAGTAGTCGAGGCGGTACATAAGGCCGAAGAAGCCTGCCACCAGGCGCGGCCAATAGTGCTGCTAGTCACACTGGACGTCAAGAACGCCTTCAACTCGGCAAGATGGGACGATATGCTGGAGGCCTTGGAACGGTCATTCAAGGTTCCAACATACTTGCTAGATACTATCCGGGACTACCTCAGAGACCGTTGGCTTTTGTACGACACAAAACAAGGTCAGAGAAAGAGACGTATAACCGGCGGAGCGGCACAGGGGTCTGTACTTGGCCCGGACCTCTGGAACGCCACGTATGACAGTCTGTTGCGCACGGAAATGCCGGAGAGCGCCTTCCTTGTCGCCTTCGCGGGCGACGTGGCCGCCGTCATAACAGCAAGAAATGTCCACCTAGCACAGCTCAAGCTAAACCAGGTCACGCGCAACGTCAGTGGATTGATGAGCGATCACAGTCTGCAATTGACTACAGCCAAAACGGAGATCGTGCTCCTCACCAGGAAACGGATCCCAACAATTATAAATATGATGGTCGGACCTCAACTCGTGACGACTTCTAGGTCTACAAAATACCTAGGGGTCAAGCTTGACAGCCAACTCACATTCTGGCCACACGGCTGATGGCGAACTTGGGCGGCCCGAAACCATGCCGCAGGAAGCTTTTGATGACAGCGGTCCAATCGGTGCTCCTGTACGGGGCAAAAATATGGGCTGAGGCATTGAAAGTAAAAAAAAATACCGGATTCAAATGTCTTCGGTCCAGCGCAGAGGGGCACTACGCATTGCTTATGCATTCCGTACAGTGGCCGCGAACGCGGTTCTAGTTATTTCTGGCGTCATGCCAATTGAGCTACTTGCTTACGAGCGAAAAGAGATTTACAATCTCAGTGCCGAGATAGGTCGAGCAGCTGCCGCGGCAAGGGCGCGCGAGCAACTGATCCAGCAGTGGCAACTAAACTGGAACGCGAGCACGAAAGGTCGATGGATGCACTCCCTGATAGCCGACCTTCAAACATGGCTGAACAGACCACATGGGGAAGTCGATTTCTACCTGACGCAATTCCTCACCGGTCATGGTTACTTCCGAGAATATCTTCATAGAATGGGAAGGGTGGACTCACCGTTCTGTCACTACTGTGGAAACACTTCTTGATTTCGCGCAGAATGTTGGAAGAAAGACACGGAGACATAACTCCGAACAACATAGTTGGGATAATGACCTCCAGCGCAGAAAAGTGGGAAGCTGTTGCGAGATACGTGAAATTCGTACTCCGCTGCAAACGAGAGGACGGTTGTCTACTGAGGACAGCCGAATGAAACGCCCCTACAAAAGAGCAGCACAAGGCTCTAACAGCGCGCTCCTGCATCTGAAGACATGCAGAATTGCGGTGCCAGGTGTAAACCGGACTGCTATTGGAACAGACTATCTATAACATGATTTAATAATACAAGGTACGATAAACTGACAGTTGTCTCTCTCGCACCGCTCCATTGGCAGTGGCACCGTATTGCTTCTTTGCAAATTTACTTGGAAAAAGTGTAGCTTTGCTGTGAAATATAAGTATAAGTTTTTGTGCAATATGTTTATTTGTATATGCATATGAAGCACATTTAACTGATAAAAAACATAAATTGTTTTTAAATTGGATGCTTACATAAATCTCATAATAGTTTTATTTTAATCTTGAGTTACAGCTAAATAGCTCGTAAATTACGTAATTCACGTAGATATATTAATATTTCGTTCAATATTTCATTTATAATGCCAGATTTCCTGCAGATACATTAGAATTTACAAAAGCAATTTCACTACTAACTGCCTGCTTTGCGTACTTTTCTACTACCATTTTCGCAAGCAGGGATTGCATTCTTCCCCTTTCTCTGTCCTTCGTAAATGCAACCTTTTGTAAGGAAGTGTCAAAGCGCAGCTGCCAGTAATTATCTAACCTTGTATTATTGAATCATGATTATATAAATAATAACAAAAATAAATAATAATTAATAATTAAATAATAACAAAATACAAATAATTTTGATATAAACAGTTTGCTACGCAAAGGCAACTGTTTCCGAAAAGCGCAAGATAAAAGGACATCGCAAAAGGAGCTGCTACTCAAAAAGTGACTGCAGCGGTAAATAGACGGCTAACTAGCGACGTTTTCGAGGCGATGGGCGATAAGGACGGCACTTTGAAAGTGCGTTTGCGCCCCCTGACTGCGGCAGGAATCAGGCAGCATACTGGAGTTGGTGGAGGAGAAGGCGACGAAGACAACGGCAAGTTAGGCAAGCACAGAGCTATACTTGCCTAAAAGTTCTAACAGCCGTGCGAGCGAAGAAGGGCACTGGAACCCTAAATCTGGTGACCAAGACGAATTTATGTAGAAGAGTTCAGCAGCAGGCAGCGAGGCGATTAGCGGTACATTTACGCCGGCAGAAGTACGCAGCGGTAGCAACGACAGCGACGACGAGTGGCATCTAGACGAGATGGTAAGAGCGACCACGCCGATCGAGGTGTCTGATGACAGCTGTGACTAGCCAACGCAGTGGCGAAGAAGTGAGGACTGCCAACGCCCAGGTGAGGGTTACGTGGACTATGTTCGGCGCGTTACAGAGCACCGAATCGTGGCGGCAACCACTTGCGCAGGCGTTGTGCGAGGTAGTGGCTTCGACAGTAGCAACTGACATCCGAGACGATGAAGGCAGCGAAAAGCAGAATGCGCTCACCCTATTGGTGGAGGAATTCCGCAGGTTGGAGGAGTTACAAAAAGCCAAAGGAGCACAAACACAGAGCCAACAGACCCGATGATGGTTCATGAGATCTAGCGATGGTTACAAAAAGGCGCAGCACAGCCAAAAGCACTACCAGATGACTGGCGAAAATTCAGCGGCGTCGACCTGGTGCCCAAGTCCATCACTAAGGGTCTTCACAATTGGCCTTTAATTTTTATTTTTTAAACTTATGCATGCTAATACTATGTCTCCATTGTGAGATTTATTGAAGATTTAGCCCTCTGACGAGATTTGACGTTAAATCTTTTGAGATTTATCATATATAATTAAATCTCGAAAGGCAGTAGATTTAAGTTAAATCTTCGTCAAATCTTCAATAATATTGATCAAGAAGTACAATTTGTTGGATGTGGCAACCACAAATTCACATGCAATAAGTCAAATGACATTTGAGTTTTCAATATACAGTTGAGGACATTGAAATCTAGCCTATCATAAAAACATGAATTTTCGTATTTTTAGGGATTTTTATATTTTTTTGTTAGTTTGGGAGCAAAATTAGTAATACATATTTACATAATAAATTAAGAAAATATTATTTTAAAAACTAAAAATTTAGAAGAAATGCTCTATAGCAATATCATGCAGTGTCTTTTCCGCTTTCTATAAGTCATTTACGCGCTGCGACAAAAAATTTATAAACTTCGGTAATGGCTCTGCTTCGATAACATTGCACCGAACATTCTCTAGAACTCAGTTCGTATTCATGATATGCCAAAGGCCCACGATTGGATTTTCGGTTCCCTCCTATGAATAAGAGAGTTCTACAAAAATTTTTCTTTCCGCAAATGTTTTTTACCGTTTTGATAATTTTTCTTAAATTCGGGAAAATGATTCGGAATATGGTACCATTCTTTACACTTTCCAAACTATATATTATACATACATACATATTTACCACGAATAAGAAGCCAATAATATTCAGAATTCATATAATGAAATTCCGCTTGGTACCTTCCTTTTATCTGTCTGTATATCAATGTCC